GTGATAGAGATATACTACTATACTTTACATAAGATTTTTATGAATGTTCTTGTGTTTTAATGCTTGTTTACATCTTCGTATCTTTCATAAAGATATGTGAAGCTCTTTATATAACCATATTTTCTCTATTTTGTTTAGTTCGTCCTAATACAAAAATTCAATACAATAAGATTATTTACAATCACAATTAAATGTGTTAATTTTAGTTTTCATCTCTTTTAATTTGTTTTGTTTTCGAGAACAAGATTTGATATACGATCTATTCCTCTATGACATTTTATCAAGATCAGATCCTTTTGCGTACAGGCTTTTCAATAATTTACGCACGACAATCCAACTATTTAAGTTCTTTTTTTTCTTGATTTGTATTTTAAAGTTAAAAATTTCAACAATAATTAGTGTTCCTAATTCTCCATGCACACACATGAGAATATTGCTATATAGTAAGGACTAAGGTTACAAAATCCATATACCTAAGTATTAGTAGGTCATCCAACATAAGGGTTTCGATTTGATCTCCTCAAATAAACAACGTTTTTAGGTTTGTTTGGTAGCTTGCAATCTTCCACAAGCATATACGTGTATGTATGTAGTCCACAAACCTCCAAATTTACAACATTATTTAAAGTTTTTTTAATATAGTACTTCTTGAGAGCTTTGAAGATCAATATTGACCAGATTTAGGGGGTGCACATGACGTGGGGTGGGGTGGGGTGGGGTGGGTATAGAACATATTTGACACGATAAGTTGAACAATATACAAAACAAAGTACGTAAGATAATATCTCATTTTAGTTTTTGTTCTATCAAAATTTTAGGTACGAGTTTTAGTTACTCATACAAATCATCACATTCTTGAAAAATTTGTATACGAAGAAAAGGTAGCATATTTTGTGAACTCTATATTTGCACTTAAAAGTACCGAATAATATTAAGAAAACTAAAATTTTGTCAATTATACTATCCATTATAACGGATGAAAAATAAATATATGGAAACTTTCCACCTCATGTGCGCTCCAAAGAATAACACTTTCTTTTTACATTTTTTTCTTTTTGGACGCAGGAACTCACAACCGCTACTCATCAATGGGGGCATGACCACTGTGAGTGCGCACTAAGTAAACCCCGCTCCATGTGCAGTATTTTGTTTGTGGGGATGGTGGTTCTTTCACCAAAAGCAAACCCCATTAAACTCATTGGGGGATAAGTTTAAGTCTGAATATTTGAACTAAATTTATTATCTATCAATAAATTGATGTGTTCCATCTTCAGTGCTAAGCACCTTAGCATATAATTTCTCTATATAATATATACAAAATGTGTCTTGGCTAGGGTTAGGTAACTTAAGTTACATCTCGTCACTACCTATTCACCAAATATCGCCAGAGTCTTAATACGTACACATAGATATATATCTCAGAATCAAGTGAGAGAAAGAGCAACATTTCTTCGTTTTCAAGCTTTCCCTTTATAGAAATGGTAGATAACAACATATGGTCCAATTCCAATTCATCAAACATACAAGGACTGCTCAAATACAGCTATACTGCTACTTCTGATAATGCTTCATCAGGAAATCATGATCATGGGCCGTTCATCAAGGATCATGATCATCTTCTTCCGACAGGAAACATTGGTCGAATCATGAAAAAAATACTTCCTTCCAATGCAAAAATCTCTAAAGAAGCTAAAGAAACCATGCAAGAGTGTGCATCAGAATTTATCAGTTTCGTTACAGGAGAAGCATCTGATAGATGTCACAAGGAGAAGCGAAAGACAGTTAATGGGGACGATGTTTGTTGGGCGCTCGGGAGTTTAGGATTCGACTATTACGCTGAATCGTTGAATATGCTTTTGTGTAGATATAGAGAAGCAGAAGGACAGCAAGTTGATAATAATCAGAATATTAAGGCTGTAGTTTCCTGCACTCCATTCAGTTTCAATGTGATGGTGGACAATAGCGAAAGCTATCTCTCTTCAGGAGATTTTGGGCCGTTAAGAGATTAAAACATTGAATTCAATTTGGTAAGTTAGGGATTTATATTTATAGCTTTTGCTCTTTACCTATATAACTGTTTTGTAAATCATAACGATTGTTCATTTTCTCTTTGTTGTTATATGTGTACGGGGAAAACAAAAGTTGGATCGACTTATTTAACAATGTTCTATGGATGTTCTATGTAACGTCTCGTGTTTCTTTAAGAGATTGTTGTACGTAACCATGATGTTTTCTTTTTCCTCTAATGTTATCTCTAATGCTTGAAATTAATAATTTTGTCTTTATTGCGACTGATTATGTATTTCTGTGAAATATACCTTGAACACTTAGACAATCGACGTGCCGATTAAAATCAATCATAGTATATAAAAGCCATGATTATGTATTTCCTTTTAGTTTATATGACTTTTGTACATCAAAAGCCATGGTCTTGGAACTCCTTTTATGCACCAAATCGAAAGGCGACTTAAAGGAATTATCGGCGCAAAGAGAAATATAATTATTAGTCTTTATACGTTATTTTCGAATAATTTTTTTAAATACGTATAAACATATTTTCGTGTGTTGTTTATTTATAGTGTATATTAGGGTTGATTCTTGTAACAAATGATAAATGATCTCGAACTCTTGGCACGTTGACTTCTTGGGCAATAAGGGACATCCTCATTGACTGATTCAAAAGTAAATTGCCAAGGTTTCAAGGTAAGTGAACATCCATCATTTAAGGAAAGTATTTAATATTAATAAGCCAGTCTTTTGGATTATCTAAAATATAAAGTTTTATGACAAGTACTATTATTTTTTGAAAGCCTTAAATTTATAAATGTTAATATATATTGTTACGTCTCTCCTAATGAGGCTTCAAATCATGGTCACATGGTAGTCAACTAGTAAGCCCAATCAAGTCCACACTCCACATCACCATTTTACCTACCTTGTCGAGTTGAGACTACCTATGAGGAGCCGAGGTAATGCATCACCTTCGTCAAGGTGCCATGAAGAGGTCGAACCTCCATGGTTAGGCGAGGTGTTGTGAATACTGCAAGGAGAGAATATGAGGCAAATAGCCTCTTTGCTGATGGAAAACACTTCCATCTCATCTCTTCCAATGGATCTTTTAAACAAATTTTTTTTACAATTGATTGATGTGACATCTTTACAACAGGCATTTAAAAGGTTAAATTGTCAATCTATGTTTCAAAGATTAGACATAGGCTTTAGAGTGTCCTCTTTACAAAGAACATGAAATGCCAATTAGTCAATGATTCATAGATTGATGTTTATGAGGAGACACCTTAGCCATCAAGATAATGCCACGTGTCTCTTAATCCAATTGTGACAACTTCTCATCTTCTACTATATATAAAATCTCACACTTAGTGTCATTTGAAGGTAAAGTCATTTTATAAACTCAAGTTATAACTTTGATCTTTCATTTTTACGTTCTCAATACACCCTCAATGTCTGAACACCTTTGTGGCACATCTCTCAAGCACGTCCCATACCCAGTATACTACTTCTCGTGACTGATTTGACCATCGTAACCGTCTTTCCCACCACAGAAGAAGGCAATGTGTAACTAACGGTTTATTTAAATGTGTAGGAGCAAGGTTATATGGACGTGAATGAAGCTGAAATTTGTTGGTCACATTACCCCTACAAAGTAGAGATCAACATATATAATAAATGAAAAAGAAATTTATTCACTTTTTTTGTAAATATGATTTTTTTTGTTTACTGGTAATTATATGGTAGCAATTCTAAGTCTAAAAACTTTGAATTAAGTTACTTGTATATCACTTTTGTACATCACGGATGACCTTCCACGATGTGTAAAAATCGAAATCATTGATTATTTTAAGTGTTGTTAAAATCAACGACAACAATTTGTGTGACATCATGGAACATAAACAAAGTTGTTAATCATGATGTAAATGTAGCAAAACTAAATTTTTTAAAACTCCGTGATCCTGAATGTTGAAGGCGGTAAGTGGATGATCTTGTGGTTCGTACAGGGCACAGGTGGAGGGGTTATTTTCTTCAATAATGCTGTTTGCACGGGGTTAACTGACATGGGCTCTGACAAGTGCTACGTTCGCAGCACCGTGTGTGTCTTTATTTTTCTAACCGTCCAATGAAATAACGACACATGTTCCCTTAGTAAAAAACTTGTCACTGGCCTATTCATGTAGCAGGGTTCTATTTTCTTTGTCATGCATATGTATGTTTTCTCTTAATTACAGTTACGAAGGGTTGTACCTTTGGGGTTTGTATCTAATTTGCTAATTTATAGATGTACTTTCTTTCAAGTTTGTGTATAAATTAATGGTGTTCATTATTTCCTTTATATACTTTGCTAGCTAATATATATCAAATGCACTTGATAAAAAATTAATGAACGTTATTTGATATTATAACGATTATGCCTAAAGATATGGATCAATGGCGACGTGTAAGGTGAATTGTATATTTAGAGACATAAAACAAGTTTGATACGTTAAATTATATGAGTCTGAACATATGTTTATCGATATTTTTAATATAAAATGTATTAAACATTCCAAATCAATCTTACATATTTGTAGGGAACATGGACTCGAAAATGGCTAAAGATTAGAGTATCATTTTATTATCTTTTAATAAGAAACCTAGAAAAAAACTAATATTTTATTATCAAGAATTTCGAAAGTTCAAATCTGAATGCATGATCGTCAAATAGATTCATTTTAAGATTGAGATTAAAACAATTACACTAACTACTAATTTAATGTTATCAAAACTGTCATTTGAATTCATCTCCTATTCACTACAAACTTTAAGTGACTTTAAATGCAATTAAGTTCTCAAGAGAAAGTAAAAATTGGATCTTAAAGCCATTCTCATTGCATATAAATATCTAACCTCTCCATTTCTAATTTCTCAAATTGGGTTTCAAGCTCGGTACAAACACATAGAAAAGAAAGATTCAGCCATTGGATTATACCTTCCAGTTCAAGAAAATGTCTAACGCCAGAACCATGCAAGCAATTGTCCTTATATTTGCATGCATTTCGGCCATGTCTGCACCAAACTTTGCACAAGTATTTGGTGGAGGCCTCCCCACTGGCCTGTTAGGTTTTAACAGTTTTGGTCTGCCACAAGTTTTCCGGTGCATCCCCAATGTTTCAACCGCACCGAAGTGTGTCGATAAATTTCTGATAGCCAGCTTCAACCTTCAACTTGAATTGCTTGATCCTGAATGTTGCGAGGTATTCTTGCAAGTTGATGAAAATTGTTTGTCAGAGGTGATGATGCCTGTGAATCCAATGTTTCCATCGATTTTCAAGAACTATTGCGGGTCGATACGGAATTGAACAATATTACAGGGTGCTAAGAAATACTGCACGAAATATTAGTAATAAAGTTGTTAAACTTAAGGGGGTCAGTGGATTCCTGGCACCGCTGAGATTTGACAAAAAGAAAAAATATATATTTCTATTTTTCTGTATAGTTTTGAATTTTTTTCGTAGTTAAAGTAGGTCCCACTAGATCCAAATCCTAGTTCAGCCATTGATTATAATGATACCGCCTTAAGCAAGATTAGAGTCCTTTCTTTCAGTAGGAAGATTTCACACTCTCTGTCTAGCACAGTGTATAGTAATAGAATTGATGAAATTAGTAATTCAAGTTTACTAATTTCATAAGGAATTCAAATTATGTAAACAAAAGAGAGTTTGATTTTGTGATTAATCTAAGAAATATGTAAAAAAATGTCTTGTATCAAATTATGGATAATTGTATTGGATTTAGAATCCGCTTATTGACATCTATTTCAATTCTTGATTTGTAATATATAAAGTTATGATATATAATTTTCTTTTTCAAGACAAATTAAATATATCCTAATCACGACTGGAATCTATTCCTAAGTTGAATTCGAATAATTAAAATGCATTAAAGTTTATATTATCTAAGTGATTACACACGTGATTAATATTATTTTTAACATCTATTGCACATATGTTACTTGTACACAAGGACCCTATTAAGATGCAATTGCCGTCCCTCCAAAGAGATGATCCAATGATTGTTTGTACTCCAACGATCAAGTCAAATATTAGGAAAATATCTGAATGTGGGAGAAATAAACTGATAGTAATTTTGATCGGATAAGAATATTGCATACATTTTCTTTAATCAAGTTTAGATTATTTATCAAAAAAATTGGTTAATCGTATTTCCAGCCTTTTGGACATATGTCAATAAGTTATTCAACATGTTGCTGTCATATCTCAGGTTTGTTTCTTTTGTAACCGTTACTTCGCACCTAGCCGTGGGATGCTTTCCATGCCACAGAAAGTTTTGCAACGGTGAATAACATGTTAGAGGATTTTATCTTACATGGAAAGATCTTGTCGGCTCCTCCCATATTCGTCATAATCAATGTCAAAGAGGAGAGGGAAGAAGATTTCTTCGTTTGCTCCAGCCAGCTAGACAGTTGATGTTCTAGTCCACTCTACTCACCTTTATAGTTCTTCTATAGACGAGTCATCGAAAAGAATCCTCCCTCGTAAAAGAGACACGTAATGTAACCTTATGGACATGGCCTTCGACGAGGTACTCTGATTCTAACAAAGTTCTCGTGGTTATGTAGGGTTCTCACATGGTTCATGTGATGTGGTGACTACTCCCCTACTTGGCATCCTTGTTCTTGTGTATGGCCAGAGTGTAACAAATTTGTAGGGAAAATAATAAGCAAATTGACCGGACCCAAGCCCACTCCACCAAATCCAAGTGAGGTTCCAACCCAAAATCAATTGGTAATGGGTGGAGTAGCCCACTTGGGTTATATGATAGATTTCTTTTCTTCTCACAACCGATGT